AGAGTTCCAAAAAAAAAATATGCAAACCAAGAGGAAAAAGCCATGAGAACAGCAGTAAAAATATCCCATAGACGTGTATTTAAAATAATAATAATAATTTTTTAAAAATCACTGAAGAGACAAGACTGAAAGAATGGGATTTCCTAAGTGTGGAAAACAAAAAGAAAGCCCCCAAAACATGTGACACATTTCTGCAGAAAAGGTATAACACAGTTCACAAGGTGTATAAAATGCACATTAGGATTCTTAAATGCTGAAATTACAGCAAATAAATTTAGATCAGAAATTAGAAGGAGTATTTGCAATGGTAAGAACAGCAAACTATCAAAATCGATTGCTTAAGGGTAAATCTCCATCAATAAGTTATGTTAGCTCATTTGCTTTGAGAACTAGTTAGACCTTCCATCCTTGAACCTGAAACATGGTGAATTTATAAAATAACAGATGTCAGTTACCTCCCCTTTTTTCCTCATCCTTCAACTACAGGTGCCTCATCTGAGCTTCCAGCTACTAGATCAGTTCTTATGAGAATTAACAGTTACTAAGAAACAACTCCCAGCATGAAGGCTTTGTAGCATCATATGGAAATAATAATAAAAGCACAACCTTAGAGCGGGTCTTGGAAGGATATTAGAGGAAAAGTGACCCACTTGAACTACATCAGGATGGGGAGTCTTTAATCAGAACAAAACCAAAGAAATTCAGAGACGCTATTAATGCAGTGACTTCAACTTTACCCTCTCACAGATGTGTGCCTTAAAGCAGTGGTGCCCAGCTGCAGAGACACCCTTTGCTTGGAATGTAGAAAAGGGACTACTAGATCTTGCTGGGTCCAGGTAGGGTCAGTCTGGGTGGGTTTGCACAACCCTCTCCCAGCAAGTGCCCTGCAGAGATACCCAGCTGACCCAACCCAGGGCCACACAGATCCAGACCACTGATCTGGTCTTGGACAAAACATGTGTCAAATGCAGAAGGGCAAATAAGAGCTAGGGGAAGCACAGGCAGCCCTTGCAAAGAACTCCTTGGGGAAGTAAAAAAAGGAAAGCAATACAGGGACATCAACCCCAAATACGGTCTCAGCAGCTGGACCCAGTAAAGCACAAAACATGACTAATTTTCTCAAAGCTCAGCTACAGAAGAACAAACACTGAGAACCAAAGCAGGAGAGCAAACTGAAACGTGCTGTCCTCTGCTGGAAGTGGCTCTGGAGGAGCTTGAAAGCAGAAGATGCTCGAGACCACTACTCCTTTGATCTTCACTGGAACAGAAGATAGAAACATCACTTTAAAGCTGCATTGCCTTGCCTAAACGTGGCTGTTACCTTTTGAACTCCAGCTAATGCTGCATTTGTACCCAGCCAGCATCCCTGTCACCACAGGGCCACTCCTGCTGCCTGTCTCTCCTACACCACCACTGCTAGAAGTTCATCTGCTGCTCTCCCACGCGTCTTCCCTTGTGGCAACAGAATCACTTGCAAGGCTGTAGAGAACTGCACCGGGGAAGCAGAAAACTAACACTTTTTTTCCTAAGAAAGTAGCAAAAATACTTTGTTGCAAGTCAGTTCTTTTACCCTGTTAACTTACAACACTTAATCTTGAGTTACACAAAGCTTTCAGGCTGTGTGTCTTTTGAATGTAACTCATATGTAGTTTAAAATACACACAGCTCCATACAGACATCACAGGAAACGTGAAAAGACACATGTGCACCAAAAAAAAAATATAAACAAACAAACACAAACCACCCAGAAAGGGCTGCTCCTGCAGTATGAGGCTTCTATCTTCTGTATCTAGAAATAATTCAGACTACAGCTTTTAAAACTTCCACAGTAAGGAAGATCTCCAGATGTGGAAGTGAATGAGTTCAGACCACATATTACTTAAATCAGCTAGAGCCAGTGGTGGAAATTATCTAAGGGTTCATCTCTGGGGAAAAACAAACAAAGTCGTAACTCTTGTTGCAAAAGAACACCGAATAAGTAAGTAACACCACCAGCACAGGTTCACAAGAGGATTTTCCAGCATTTAACGCAGGATCAAACCGTCAGACAAAACATTAGTCATTCAGGAGAATTAAGACGACAAAATATAAAACGCCTTTCTTCTCCCCCCCCCCTTAATTATCCAAGCACAGCACTGAATACAAATAGGAAGTGTTTAAGCTGATGATAAACGTATTTTCCTCCATGTTCCCGGTCTCACACCTGAAGCCTCACACCCCTCCGGCACAGGAGCCGGTGCTGAACACCAACCACACCGAACAGGCCGA